TGTGCGGGGTTGCCGGGGAAAACGAGAGAAAATGATGCAGGTAAATGTTCTTTTAAGGACAGGCTCAACTGAAAAGCTCGATTTTTATATTCTGATAAAGATGGTTGCTTTGGGCTCATTCCTCACTCTCCCTGATGTCCTCCAACCCTTTCCCCTTCTACCAGAAAAAATAAAGACAGCCAAAAAAAAAATTATCAAAAAAATTAATGCTCTGTATTATATTGGGACCAGATTATTTTTGCATTCCCATATTTACTCATTGTCCAACAGAAACAACTGACACGTTTGACTTCTTAAAATTATTATGAACTGAATGTGAAACTGAGAACTGTAAATGATACCTTGTAAGTCTCTTCATACACAGGTAAATAGCGAAGCTCACTCGATGATTCTCCCCAAGCTTCAATTAACACCAGCGCTTTGTTTCGATTGTTAACAACAGTCTGAGGGTCATCAATCAACTTCACCATCTCATCCAGAACCCTCTCAGCTGCAATCTCTGAGAATGCCTTCTCGCAATTCTTTGCAATAGTTTCAAGTAACACCAACCCTAAGTACTGAATCCTGGGGCTCTTCAACATTAATCTTTTCTTCACGCCCCGTATAAGTTCAACGCTATTAATTCTTTCGTGATTAATCATGTCACAAAGCTCAAGATTCATAGCCCAATCAGGTTCATCCAGAGTTTCAGCTGTGGCTTCCTCAACAAGTTTATCAGCCTGATTCGGGCCTTGGAAAAGCTCCTTCATCTTGAAACTCATCGAGCTCATTCCAGCAGTGATCTTCTGCCCAACCTCCGTGCCTCCAATCTTCAATCTCTCCCCAAAAGCACTGACTTTATCCAATAAGTTATTGTCACTCATTTTGGATTAAATCTTCTGCAACTCACTCCTTTACAACACTTCCTAATTCAAGTTCTTTAAATCCTTGCCTCTACACTATCTTCAGCTAAACAGACTCAGATGTTAACCTGAAAAGATGAAAAAAAGGAAGAATCATAAATGATCAACCTCGACAACAGTATATAATTTTCTTCTTATCAAAAGAAGAAGCAAAAAACATTCACATATGTTTCTTCAAAATTTTCCATGATGACAGTAGAGTAAAGTAAATTTGACAAATGATCCTAACTACTTTCGGATTGGATAATTGATTGATGGATGATCAAATCCCCAGCCTGTTGCGATTTCATAAGCAATTTCATAAATACCGGATATGGTCAATTGTTAGGGTTTACTTATTGAAAAAAACGGAGATAAAAAAAAAAATATTCATCAAACTCAAACAAGCAAACTAGATATCCGGCATGCGGACTACATCGCTGGAAAATTTATCATCATGACAGAAAAATACTACAAACATATCCAATAAAAAAATGAAAAAAATAAGCAATTCAGAGTTGCAAAAACAAATAATTCAGTTTTTACAAGTTCCGGCGAGGTGAACTAACATTCCTGGTAAACAGATGAATTTTCCGATATCAGTTTGAGATTATACGACGGAGCAAATTCAGCAACAAGATCGCATAAAATTCTACCAATTTCATAGAACGGAAAACAGAAAAAAGGAATATTCCGATCAGGAAAAAGAGTGAAAGCAGTGAGTGAGTTACCTTTGAGAAACTTGGGATCGAAGACTGTTCTTCGATTGCGTGTTTATGAGAAGACAACGCGTAAACGCGAGCGACTCTTCTCTCTCTCTCTCTCGCTCGCTTTCTCTCTCTAGATGGAAGGAAGGAGTCTTCCGATGTTCCTCGGTTATGGAGACTTTAATAGTATTCTACTTTACGTTTTATACCTACTGTTTTATTGCTCTGCTAACTGTATTTTCGTATTCTATTCCGTATTAGTAAGAAATTCATTTTGTTTGGTACCACGTGTATAATAATAATGTTGAATAGGTCATATAATATTAGTAATATGTTGAGATTATTGTATTGAAAAAAGAATTATATTTGTTTCTAAAATAATTCTTCACAAATATAAAAAATAAAATGAGGCAATTGTTTTTAAATATGTTAATGCATGTATTTTAATTTTTGTATTGTTAATTTTTTAGGGGTCGGTTGATAGAGTATATAAGAATAATGTTAAATAAAGCATGTTGATAATGTTTACATCACTCAATCTACCATTGAGAACCGTCACTTACTTTTACACAATCAAATAAAATAAATTGTGTGTATTTTCCAATTATTCAATTTTCTCTCTATATATATACACTACCGATACACAAGCTTTGAGTTCAAAAACAACCGCACTTATCATCAATTTCTTACTAATGCTTGTATTAGTTATTCTTATATTGATTTGGTGTATTGAAAATAGCATGTATTGTATAATTTTTTAATGCAAAGATAGCCTCTATAAACATAGTGAAAAATATGTTAATAAATTTTTTTGAATGATAATTAAGTCTTTAATCATGCTAATGCATGTCACATTTATGTCATCCAACTTTGGGTGAGCACAAGTAGACACTTAAACTTGTATAAAGTTGAACAAGTAGACACATGGGTCATATGTGGCATCCTACATGGCAATTTGTGTCCTATGTGTATTATGACACATAAGATTCATGTGTCTGTTTATTCAACTTTATATAAGTTTAAGTATCTACTTGTGTACACTCAAAATTGAAGGGCATAACTGTGAAATGAGGCCAAGTTAAAAGGCATATTTATGTATTATGTTTATTACTAATCATAGATTAGTTTCATGTATTAGTAATATAAATGATTTCAATATATGCATTAGATTGATTAATCATATAACTATCTATCAAATTTCTCTCAAAACATTTTCTACTTTTCAAAGCTAAAAAATATTAGATTGATTAATGAAATAATTATCTCTCAAATTCCTCAAGACATTTTTCATTTCCCAAAGCTAAAAAGTATTCCTTCCGCTCCATATTAGATGGACACTTTCTATTTTACACCGTAATTAACAAATTATTACTCCCTCCGTCTAACAATAATTGTCCACTTTATGAAATCAATGGATAGTTATACACTTAGTTCCTAATTTACCTCTATCATTAATTATAGTTATTTCCGTTTACATTTTTCAAGACATTTATTTATTATATTTAAGGGGTGATAGAGTAAAATTACTCTTCTACTTATAATTTATTAAGAAGTGTGCAAAGTCAATAGTGGACAACTATTGTTGAACAGAAGGAGTAATAGATTGATCAATTTTACTATTTTACCCTTTGTTTATATTAATTAGCCTCTTGAAAAAAATAAATTCTTAGATCTTCAATTTTTTGTTTAAACTTCGAAAGGTCATATTAATTGTAAGGGTAAAATGAGAAAAAATTAATTAATTCTATCTTCATTTAGTAAGTGATCAAGTAATATAAGAAAAATATTTTAATAATATGCCCATCTAATACGGGACAGAAAAAGTATTAAATTGATTGATGACAAAACTATCTCGAATTCCTCTCGTGACATTTTTCATTTCCCAAAATAAAGAGCGTGAATGGTAATTTTTGCAAATAAATTTATATAATACATTTTATTTTCAATAAATCAAATCAAACACTATACAAAATTTGAAGAAATAAAAAATTATCATTTAGAACAATTAACTAATTAGTAAAGGAATTCAATTAAATTTAGGTAAAAATATTTTTAAACCAAAATTTTGATAAAAAATGGAAAGAAAATATTTATTAGTCCTTTTTCGAGAAAATGATCAAAATGATCCTTAATGTATAAGGGTTGAATTATTTTGGTCCTCTATATATATCATCTTATCTAAATAGTCCTTAATATATACAAAATCATGATTATTTTAGTCTTTAGTCCTAAAACTAACCAAAAAGATAAAAAAATCTGTTAACTATAACAGTGGATCCCTTGGAATTGAGACCCTTCTTCCTCAATTTGCTCTTTTCACCATTACCACAAGCGTGTCCTTTTCCTTAACTTTTTTCTTTCACCATTTGAGGTCAGCTCCATATACACTACACCCATTTCTCATCTCCCTCTAAAAATTCTATTTACATACATAATAAGAAGAAGAAAATCAAGATTACCAAAACAAATGGGAACTAAGTAAATTGAATAAAAGTCTCTATTTTCCCTCCGAGGAGATCGCCATAAATAAACTCTTTTTAAGTTGTTTATTCGCTCTTATTACAGTGATCTATCGGGGATATAGCTATCTTTTCGTTTTAACTTTTTCAAAATTAGTAAGTTTTTCAAGCATTGCTTTTTCATTCTATTTTTAAAATAAAAGGGTAAAAATTGAACACAAAGATAGAAAATAAAAATCTTACAAATGTTTAATTAAAATTTAAAGAAACTTTTGTAAGTATGAGAAGATTTTTGGCAGTGAAAATTGTAAAAGAAATGGCAACAGAAGGGTTCACCAAGTGTGGGACCCACAATTAAGTTTAACGTTTTTTTTACTTTTTCTATTAGTTTTTAGGGCTGGGATCAAAATGATACCTTTTAGGACTCGTTTGGTGTGAGGGATAATACCATATAGTCCCGGGATTAAATTATAGTACCGCTTATTTTTGTTGTTTGGTTGGCAAGTTCGGGATAACTTATCCCGGGATTAATAATTAGTACCGGGATAAGTTATCCCTCTATTTGGGTGGTATAGTAATCCCGGGATAACTTATCCCCGGGATAAAATAGGTAAATGACAAAAATGTCTCTTTACAACCCTTTTGTTATATCACTTTTTACATTAATGAAGGGCATTTTTGTAAACAAATAAATTGTTCTTAAAATTTATTATTTTGAATACAACAAACCAAACACTCAATAAAAAATAATCCCAACACAACTTATCCCATCATAACTAATCCCAACATAACTTATCCCAACATTACTTATCCCATCATAACTCATTTTCAAACCAAACGACCCCTTAGTATACATTAAAGACTATTTAGATGATATGAAATATATAAAGGACCAAGATAATTCAACCCTACAGATAGACGACTATTTTGATCATTTTCTCGTCCTTTTTCTATAGGTTAAAGGTATTAGTTACTAGTACTATTTATAAACCTTTTCCGGCAAGTTAATACCGGCGGAATAACCCGTAACAAAAATATATGTACAAAAAAAGTCCATGAAGGTAATCCGGTTCCGGTGGTTCCATTCAACGACGTAGACATGAATCGTGTACCGCCTCCGTCGTGTCCACCGCCGGAAAACGTGTTCTCGTCAATAGCAGAGGAATCGGAGTCCCCGGTGCAGAAGAAACTTAAGATCGACGAAGAAGATGGGGATTCCGTTGTTAGCGATACTTCCAGTGAAGATAGCTTGGTTTTCAGCGATGAAGTGAATGATACCTCCAGTCCCATAAGACCGACTTATAGCCAGTATGATTCAGACGAAGACTTTTGCCCATATTACCCTCAGAAAATGGATAAAGCTGTTTGGGAGAAGTATTACCAACAGGTTAAGGAGAGCGAGGTAACCTCATCATTCCTTTCTAATTTGAGTCGTTTATGAAAATTTTGAGTTTATTTTAAGTTAATTTAGGAGTCTATAATTTGCACCTGTATATGAAAATTTTGAGTCAAAATATTTTAAGGTGATTTACCTATTGTTACATATTGTATTGTATTGTATTGTATTGTACTGTATTATTCGGATGAATACAGTGTTTTGATAGATTGTATCGTTCTCCGTCATTACATAATGTCACACAAACCTACAAGTAGGGTACGGGTAGAGCTACTATGAGGTAGGATAAAAGACGCGATTACACCAAATCAATCGTTGCATAAAATAGGTCTCCACCTAATGATGTATTTAAACATTGTATTTAAACTAACAGTACAATGAGTAACAACCATCCAAACAAGGTTAGGAGTAGTAGTTTGCGCAACAACATTGTGTTTAAACTAACAATACAATGAGTAACAACCATCCAAACAAGGTTATGAGTACGTAGTTTGCATAACAACCTGTATATGAATCTAGGGTAGTTTCTAGCAGCCTCAACGTGTTTATTCCCTATAGTATGGACTGCTAGTAAAAGTAAGAAATTTAGTGTGAAGAGTTGTTACAAGCTGTTGGAAAGGCAGATTGATTTGGTGGAAAAGAACTGGCTATGTGAGATGTTTTGGAAGACTAGAGCTTCTCCTAAAGCAGTTTGTTTTGGATGGATAGCAGCCAAGAATGCATGCTTCACTCAAGACGTATTGCAAGAGAGACTTTTGTTTTATGCAATAGATGTTTCCTATGTGAAAACCCCCCAGAATCTGCTAGTCATCTGCTTATTCAGTGTGGACGGTGTACACAAATCTATGTGGGGTGGAATGGACAATGCCACTCAATATGAGGAACTTGTTAGAATCCGGCCACATCCGAGGGTTGACTAGCAAGGGAAATCTGGAGAACTATCCCTTTATGTATAATGTGGATGGTCTGGTTGGAAAGAAATAGGAATTGTTTTGGAGGCCAAAAAGTCATATCTGTTGTTATTTTTTTTTAGACGTTTGTTGAATCTTTTTTGCCTGGTGGAAGGGTAGGACAACTGACAATTTTTGGCAATTTCTAGATTTCGTGAATATGCTTAATTGAAATTGTAACAACTTTCCTACTTGGTACTGATTAGTAAAATTATCTTACCTTTTAAAAAACACACCAGGTTATTTGGTACTTCCAATCCAATGTATCTTTGGCTACTTGCCTGATATAGGTTCTGCGATTTTTCTGAAGGTTAACTAATTACATAGCAAATTGGATGCAATGGGCAATACGTGTCTCTTATTGGTGGATTGTACTTTTGCAGGGATTTGATATCACAGATTATCCCGGACAGTGTGCGATGACAACTGTCTACCCAATGCCATTCTACTTGAACGACCCTAAGAATGTTGACATGATGACAGATTATGCTGGAAAAGCACTTGGGCAATACAATGATGAAAAGGTATACTATAGATGCACTTTCTTTGTCTTTCCTGATTGTCCTTTTCCTTCATTTTCTCTTCTGTATCTCTAAGAAAATAACTTGACTGATTTTTAGGGCACCAATTACGAGGTCAATGACATTTTGACGGTGAATGGAGGTGGTTGTCGTGACTTCATATTCTATATTACCTTTTCCGTTAAAACACGTGATGATAAGGATGACATTTTTCAAGCAAAAGTTGTGAAAGATTTAAGATACCGCTTGCAGTTTCCGTTGGTCAGGCCAAAGGTAAAAGCTTTTATTGGTTAAGTGTCTTATCAGCACCATTATGCCATTCATTATATTTCTTCTGATATCGTTAGTGTGCTGATATTTCTTCATGTGCTTTCAAGCATGTTTTAATTCTAACCAGAGTCTTAACAGAATCATGTGTTCTATGAGATTAGGCTGTTGTACCACAAAATCAGTAATCATGTATCCGAGTGGATATCAGAGTTGCTTTGTCATGATTATGTTATTAGTGTGTTTGGTAAATTTAACTGATAGTACATGTTATCTTCCCTTTGCCAATGATCTTTAATTTTTTTTTATGAATAGCTACATTAATTTTGAAGGGGGGAAATTTCAATGAAAATAGCACTACTGAGAAGTTCTTTAGTTGTAGGCAACCTTTGCTTTTACCTCATATGAACATGTTATAAAAATAATAATTCAGAACTACTTTTTTCTCTAATTAGCACTGCTTTGTATAATTTACAATACTTCCTGTCAACCTATTCCTTGATTGTCTGCATTTTCCTTTGACAAAAGAAGAAGAATTCAATGGATGTGGCATGGTTGTAGTAGTGCATGTAGACTCTGTGCATGTCTAGAATTAGACTAGACAGACCTCACCTTAAGGAAGTTAAGTGTTTGGCTAACTAGAAGCTTAGAGAGCGGTGATGCTCCAGTAGTTCCTAAATTGGCGAAGAAATCTCTAGTCTGAAACATGAGTTCTCTGAGTTGAAAACCCTCCTTGCCTTTTCTCCGTCATTCCACCAATCTTTTGCAATTTTTTTTTTTATCATCCCCATTGATATGTGCAGGCAGGTTTGGCTTTCTGTTACATGGAAGAGCTTTTCTATTTGATAGAGCTTTTTAGGAGATTGGTTGCAATGAAGTCTCTGATTAATAATCAACAATGATCTTTGAGGTCTAATCGCATTGTTTTGTTGTTGTTATTGCTTCCACATTTGTATCCCCTTTTCAAACTGTTTGGCAAAGCTTAGTTAAGCTCTATTGAAATCAACCTCTCTATATCTACGAGGTAGGGGTAAGGTATGCGTACACTTTACCCTCCTCAGACCAGACCCCACTCTTTGAAGTTAGCTAGTAACTGTCTTCTTCTATTGTGTAGCCGAAGAAAGGTTCGAATCTGCAGTGATTGAAGAATGTGCTCCAAAGTCTCCTTTTGTTATATTCAGCTTTGAACTTCGTCAACAATTTCTCGTGGCTATCATTGTGCATAATTACTTAACGACTTTATTTTGCTCTTGTACAGGACACATTAATGTATAATTAACTTAACTGTGCATTCTTCAATGAAGAGAAAAACACTTAGGTGAACTTGCAGATGGCTTACTACATAACATAAGTTACTCTATTGTATACTTAATAGCTAGTAGAACTGATACGATTAATCTATAATGGGATACGATAATTTAGAGAGTGCACTGCGTTTAATTTTGGCATATCCCTGATAACCCCATTCCGTTCCCCAGCTATTTTTCACCAAATAAAACTCAACGCCCTCCTCTTCACCATATCCTACAATTAACATTGCATGTTTTCCAACTACTTGTCCTTCAGTTTCCTTCTGTCTCACTTGAGCAATTTCATTTTCAGTTGGTCCCATGTACACTCCCTGTAAATCAAAATATGAACTCATATCATCTACGTAAGCTAAGAGAATAATGAACAGAAATGTTGTACTCCCTTCGTCCTATATTGACATGATATTTAAGAAAAAAAAGGAAAACTTTTGAAACTTGTGATCTAAAACAATTTTTGGAAATTTGTGTGTGGGGTTGAGATTGATTTCATCAAGGGTAAAAGAGTAATTTTAAAGTTAAATTGTTTCTAACTATAATAAGATACATTCTTTTCGAGACAGACTATAAAGGAAAGGATGTCATGGGATCGAGGGAGTAGTACTTCACCTTTCCACGATGTAGTTGAAGACTTGGAACATGAAGAGCAGCACAAGTAATAGGTTGTTGCCGAATCAACTTTTCTATGATTTCCTTTTCATCCAACTTCTCTATTGCCTTTTCTTCCAACTCCTTGATCAATTCCGATACTCTTTGAAATCCATTTATCTTTATAATCCTCTACATAAATACATAATAAAATTTCAATATCGTGAGTTCTACTTCAACAATAAAAAACAAAACTAATTACCAGTAGTTTATTGAACGGTGATAAACTTACCATTTCAGACTGACATTCACATTTACCCCTCTCTTCCATAAAGGGATATTTAGTTTCTACTGTTATGCCATAATCCATAGCAAATTTGTATGCCTTGTTATATGAACATGGAAAACATTCCTTCTCTCCCAAATCAGCAAAATAGGAAGGCTTTTTATATTTAGTGTACATGCAATCAATTAACTGCTGTTTTGAGAGTGGAACAATCTCTCTTTTATTCTTAAGGGCATATGCTGCCGTAATAGCTTCTGTTGATGTGAATGCCCAACAACAACCTTCAGATCAAGAGGAACTATTTGTTATTATGAGTTCATATCTGAAACTAGTATCGTTAAGTAATAGTACTATACAAAAAACCTGAAAGGTACGTACAACAATGGCCTTGATTATCGATTCCAACAAGACATTTTCTTCCTACCCAACGAAATTTAATATTCTGAGTATTTGGAAAACAATACCTAAGTCAGCCAAAAGTTTGAACAAAGTACAAAAACATCAATTTATTCATCGATATCATATACCTCCTTGAAGAAATTGTCTTTGCCCAGAGTTTAACTTCTGGTTTGGACCAGCTTGGTCGTGTAATGTGTACCTCTTCTTCTGGCATTCTCTCTGTAGATGAAGTTCTTGCCATCGAAACTATCAATGAAATATTATTTGTGTTAATAATAGACACATGGAGGAGAAATGATTTTTTAGCCTTTTATAATTTTTACGCATAAGATATATCTGGAAAAGTCATTTTCTTCGAGGGCAAGAATCTCACTTTCTGTATGAATATATGTTGCATGAGCCTGACTTGTAACTCTAATGGTTATTAATAGTACTTAGTAAGTACTTTGTTTTTCTTTCATGAATGAAGCATTTCACTAAACTATACAAACAAAACATAATTAAAAAAGGAATATTGTAGAAGACAAATAGGAGAAATAATCAAACCTTGTTATGCGAGCTACAATCTCCTTTACTATTCAGCTAGCTAAACTAGAAGAAAGATACATATATAGAGAGAAGTAGAGACAAAAAAACACTGGGTGATTATTCTCATTTGTCCTAGCTTTGATGGATAGAAACACCTTACATGTTGTTGGTGGAGGTGACAGATATCTCGTGGAATTAGTCGAGGTGCATGAAAGCTGGTCCAGATGATCATAAAAAAAGAAGGAAATACAATATAGTACCATTTTGGTGCTACAATTTAATGCTCCACAAGTTTTATTTTCTTTTAACATTTAGCGCCTGGAATATGGTTCAGTACTACTCAAATGGATAAACTGATTAACTTTTCCGCCTAAATCATTCTTCAATATAGGCCATTTTTGTGTTAACATATTAATGCATGTACCAAGTTTTCTTCCAAGCTATATATCTGCCAAAAAAAATAATTTCCATGAAGAGTGGTAAAAGACTCACTTTAATTAATGCATTTTCAGTGATGAGTTTTCAATAGTAGCTTTATTTTAGAGTTCGTTTGGTAGTTGGTTAGAGTTATTCAAGTATTAGTACTGTAGAGATTAGTTACGGGTGAATCATTAAATTTATGTATTATTTATGTGGGTATTAGTTATGTGAAGATTATCTAATTCACCTTTTATCCTGTATAAAATAATACACAGATTTCTCATAACTTATATATATATATATATATATATATATATATATATATATAAAATATGCGAGATTCTAAATTATCAACTAAATGTCATACTGATTTTATATATGAATAACTTATTTCCTATCTATAATCTACCTACCAAACGTCGTATAAGTGATCATAATATGTTTTTGATGTGTATACATGAATAACTTGTATATTTACTATCTACCTACCAAACGTCGTATAAGTGATCATAATATGTTTTTGATGTGTATACATGAATAACTTGTATATTTACTATCTACCTACCAAACGTCGTATAAGTGATCATAATATGTTTTTGATGTGTATACATGAATAACTTGTATATTTACTATCTACCTACCAAACGTCGTATAAGTGATCATAATATGTTTTTGATGTGTGCACTAAAGAAAAAAGTTTTGTTTGATAACTAAATTAAATATAATGGAGTAACAAATTTCTTATCTACCCACCAAACGTCATATAAGTGGTCATAATATGTTTTTGATGTATGCACTAAGTTGCATAAAAATAAAAAAATAAAAAAAGTAATCTCCGACCTGCCGCTAAATCTATGTATTATTTATGTGGGTATTAGTTATGTGAAGATTATCTAATCCACCTTTTATCCTGTATAAAATAATACACAGATTTCTCATAACTTATATATATATATATATATATATATATATATATATATATAAAATATGCGAGATTCTAAATTATCAACTAAATGTCATACTGATTTTATATATGAATAACTTATTTCCTATCTATAATCTACCTACCAAACGTCGTATAAGTGATCATAATATGTTTTTGATGTGTATACATGAATAACTTGTATATTTACTATCTACCTACCAAACGTCGTATAAGTGATCATAATATGTTTTTGATGTGTATACATGAATAACTTGTATATTTACTATCTACCTACCAAACGTCGTATAAGTGATCATAATATGTTTTTGATGTGTATACATGAATAACTTGTATATTTACTATCTACCTACCAAACGTCGTATAAGTGATCATAATATGTTTTTGATGTGTGCACTAAAGAAAAAAGTTTTGTTTGATAACTAAATTAAATATAATGGAGTAACAAATTTCTTATCTACCCACCAAACGTCATATAAGTGGTCATAATATGTTTTTGATGTATGCACTAAGTTGCATAAAAATAAAAATAAAAAAAAAGTAATCTCCGACCTGCCGGATTCGAACCAGCGACCTAAGGATTAACTGTGGTATATACCGACTACAGTCCTCCGCTCTACCAACTGAGCTAAGGTCGGATTTGTTATAAGTTCTTTTTAATTTGTATAAAACACTTAACTTTGTTAGCATTCTTTCATGTTTTATGCCCTTTTATACTGGCCAAAACTCACAAGGTTGTCCTCCTCCCTTCATTCCAATTTATATGTCATATTTGCTTATTAATAATAATATAATTTTAATCTTTTTATAGCGTTTTTTCATAGTTCAAAATAAGTGAATTGTTCAAAGTTCAAGAGAGTTATAGAATTCTTTTTCCATTTTTGCCTCTCATTTATATCATCTAGTTCTAGATGATAATTTCACAAGAGTTGATTGCTCATATTTATGATTTTACTTTGAATTATTTATATCTTCAAGAATAGTTTGAGAATAACTAAAATGGCAAAAGTGGAAAGTGGTGTTTATTTTATGTCCTAAACTTTTTTTCTTAATAGGTGTATATTGCCTCAATAATTCACCTATTTTGAAATGAAGGAAGTATTTACTTTTTTTAAATAAAAAAAAATTGTCCAATTAAAACACTGTCATGACAATTCGGCAATATTTAAGGACATTGCGTGATGACTTATTTGCATAATGGGTGAGGAACCAAAGGTGACCTATATAACAATCAATTTGATGCATCATCAGTTATATAAAGCTTAAGAAATAAATACACTGAAGTAGCAAAACAACGCCTACTATATATACATCTATAATGTATACAAATAATTTCGACTTTGTATATACAATGTAGTTTTGCAGTCAGCAAAGAGCGTAGTTCAACTATAAACTAGTGAATTTGAACTGCATTATGATGCCTATACAACAAATCAACAGTTAAGAGTTACAATATTAATTCTACTACTCAGTATTTTGCCTTTCATGTTTGGACCAAACAGAAAAGGAACATAATTAGTTGATATCTTTACATTAAGGTTTGTGGAACTTGATGGCTATCATCTGAAGTCACCTATATCTCTGAGACTTCCTTTTCCATGGTGTCATTTTTCTTAAGGTTGACAAGCATAGCGCGTTCTAGGGATACGTTCCTTCATTGTCAAGCTTCATTGATACTCTGTAGCAAATTCAGGGTGAGAATCCTAGCAGTGGTACTCTAACTGTGTGTATAATCAACTCATAGACACTTAGTTTATACATAGAGGCCTTCGCAGTTAAGAAACAAAGAAATAGCAAACTAGCTAAGAAACAATGATAACTACTACGCCTCAATTCCAAACTAGTCGAGAATTAGTTAAGTACCGGGAGGAAAAAGTAATACCTTTTTCTTCTTATTCCTCATTTGCTTGCCTTGAGCAGATGATCTTCTTATCATGGACATCTTTATACCAGTGTCTACATTTTGAATACTACTTGACATTATCTGTTAAATCATGAAAGTTCAAATGCATCAAAAACCTTTATCATCTAATTTATTGGAGGTCATTTTACGCAATAATTTCTTTACTCGCGATATAGACTATATTCTCTTTTGATTCTTGCAATTCAAATTGATACTTAAATAGAGTTTGAACTAGAGGGAAGGACAACTTAAATATTGAAATCAGAAAGCAAACATGGAATTATGTAAAACCTAGAAAGACAAATCTATGCTACAATATGGTACCTCACAATATGGACGATATTTTCCTTGTATGCGCGGAAATAAGGTTTGTATCCACAAGTAAGGTAGAGATTTCATTTTCTGCTCAACCTCACAACGCATTCCTTCCTCAGCCTCAAACATCTGTGCAACAGCTTCCATTGTTGAAATATCCTCAGTAACAAAGAGGCTGCAGCTACTTCCACACAGACAGTTAAAAGTTTCAAAATCTGCATGATTAAGTTTGTTTTTGTTAAAGATAAGGATATGGAAACTGGAGGATTGGAAAATGAAATGATCAAATGGTGCTCAATAAGTGCAACAGGTTTACATCCTATGGCCTATCGAACTGCACAAAGTGTTGCATGTAAATCAAATTGCAATTTTCTTAGGAAAATTTAGACATTTACTGCAACAGTACCATGAAAAAGGCATATGGGATCAGCGTAACATTCGCACTCAAGGTATGCCACATAACAGAGTCGTTTGCAGAGGATGCAGTTAAATGACTCTCGAGGCTTTGAACACATTCTAAGAGAAGTTTTCAACTTCTCCAAGCACCAGCGGGCACGGTGGTATGATCTCAATAGGCATGAAAATGCAGTCATTACACAACGAACATCGATTAAATCTGCTGTGCAATAAGGTCTGTGAGCTGAAGACTTTGAGAGAAGCATTGCTTCTGCACAGAGGAGCTCTTCATAAGGAATAATTGGCACCTTGCCAAGAAGAGCATAACGCTCACTAGCGGCAGCCCCAAATGGAAACCATTCACCAATTGCAAAATTCACGGCCTCACCACAGTTGAAGCCTGCAGGAACCAGGAAAATTAGTTGTATGAGCAAAGTAATATCCTTCATATTATATATGGTCATTGCAAGTGAATTATCAAGATCTAACCATGACTAAATCCTGAATGGTATGCTCTAGGGAAGGTAATGACAAACTCTCCTGGCATTTGCACAGCCTTGTAAACCGGGACACCATATTGCAGCAGAATCTTTGGAGAAACCATTGTTGTTCTCTCTTGAAGAATATTAAAGACTCCATTGACCCCATTTTCTGATAGGATTTCCTCATTATAAACACGATGCCGAATAAAATTCTCAAACTGAAGAGCTTCATGACCAGGAACTCCATACCAAGTTTTGGCCGCCCCACAGTGATGATAGTTAATGCTGAGAGGCAAAAGAGTAAGGAAAATGTAAAGAAACTGAATGGCTGAAACATCTAAGAGAATGTTGATAGCATGACTTGCCTATAGAGATAATGATCCTCTACATGCCAAGCGAACATACTAAATAGCATCCCTATGTACAACATGGGGTCTGTTACTCCCTGAAACAAATAAATATATCAAAACCAGTGAAGCCTTTACTGATATTCTGCATTTTCCCCAGAATTTACAATCATACACTACCGGTATTTCATTAAGAAGCAAGCGTAATGCTGATCTTTGCAGCCGAGGAAGTATCTGCACAGAGAACAGCGATTTGATATTGGATGAAAAGTAAAAGGTGTATTAATCATAGTATTTGCAAATCTTATGCTTCGACACAAAAGAATCTAAATGAAATTAGAAAATCTTTCTGAAATACTGCTAAAAAATTTCTAAAACTAGAAAGACAGCAACATTGATGGATGGTGCTTGAGCACAAAAAACTATCTGCATGGTGCTTGAGCACAGAAAACTATCATGACAAACAGTAAAATATGAACTTCTGATGCATCAATAAGCTTAGGATGCAGTCCATCATAGACAACGAAGAAAGATGATAACATAAGACAGAATGATCAATGATGTACAAAAAACTAGCAGCAAAAGTATATGTAGAACCTTGAAATTCCATTTGCTACATCCAAGAGGATCATCAGTGGAAGTGCTTGAGAAGGCACTACCATCTATATTAATTCCATACTCAACCATTCCTGTCTTTGCAAGTGTCATTTCTTTCCAAAATTCCTTTTCCACATATGCAGGAGGAAGGCATCCAGATATACAGTATCTTCGAGCAGTTGCCTTGTTTGCCATTATCTCAAAATCACGAATAGTATAATTTCTGGAACACAAATAAGATACACGATGACATGAATCACACTACCATATAAAATCCAATAGGTAATCACACTACCATATAAAATCCAATAGGTAAGTAGCATGAAAATGTCAATGATGAGATACATTATGATAGCAGCAGTTTGTGGTGCAGTAAATGCAGCCATCACTTTGTGATAGTACTTGCATATCTAAAGAAGATACCAAACATCACTCATTGTATAATACCTTCCTCTTGTGAAGAAGGTGATCTTATCGTTGTTATTCCATTCAGCAAGTCGCAGAGGTTGCAACTTAGTGGTAAACTTAAAACGTTTTTGCTCTTTCATCAACACTACTCCAGCCGGAGCAGAAGATCCTAAGGGAGAGACAATCTTACAAATGCCTGAAATTCAATACAGTTCTGGTCAATTCGCCGAAGATGGATGAAAAAAGTACGACAATTACCACAGCACAATGCAAGAAGCAATAAGAGTTCAACTTAACCATTGTATGTTCAGAAAAAGAACAGTACAGTGAATGAATCAAAAGAGACTTATTTAACTGTTCAGGTTCCTAGAGCCATTATCAGGTTTATGAGAAAATCCTATAACGACACATCCCAAAAAGCGTTAACAAAGAGTAAACAGGAATGCTGTGATCTGATAGTGCCTATATCAGAAGTAGGAAACATAACCTTAGAAGCATATACTTATACTCCTTTCATCGTAAGCGCCTTTTGCTTATTGATGGTCAGTTTAATGAATTCTGACAGCTAATTTTTCAAAAAAACAAAATAGAAATGAAGAACTATTACACATTTTAATCATTCTTGTCAAAGTTCACTTAGTTCGACCCTCGAAAAATATCAAGAGAAAATTTCCAATTGTCAGTGGTACCATATTTTGATGCTTCAGGAGCAATTTTCTGCACATAAACCAAAGGATCCTCAAACTCTTCCTTAGATGGACGATATACTAGGCACTCTTTAATCGTATCGGTCCAATCAAATTCATCCATACTAATCTGACCAGCGGCCTTCCTATTTTGAGAAACTTTTCCATGAGAAGGGCCATGCAGACTAGGTTTCTTCACTCTTCTTGCAGATCTTGTTTTTGTAACTTTTTGAACAGCATTCAGAACATCTTTCTTATACTTATATTTTTCTGGTACTCTTTTTTCACAAGATAAACGATCCCCTGCTTCAGCCTGCAGAAAAGCCTCAATACAGTAAAAATACGAACATTTATGTGAAAATTCTGACTCTTATTACAAAGAATTTTCAGAAAAATGACAGGAAGTACAACGGAGTCGATTTTATTACTTATAATATATATCATTCCTGATCAAAAGTGAGAAAAAAACAAGTTATGTTTAAAAAATGAATAAACATAAACTCGAAATCTGTACTAAAATGAAATAATTTTGAACGAATTACTAAAGAAATCTGAAGAAACTTTACCATATGAGCGTTCTTCGCATACATATGTCGAATTTGTAGAGAGAGAAAAAGACGCTGAAGAAGTTAACGAGAGAAATCTCACCGCCCGCCCTTTGAAGATTTGAAAATGGATAAAACGTTACAGTTCGTTGGCTATTTATACCTTTGCATTTGGGCATACCGAGAAGGCCGGGTCCCGGATGACCCGACCCACTTTTTAACGAAAAACTATTGCATTTTCAGGTAAAAAATGCAATTAACTGCTTTGGGGGATTATTATTTTTTTAACTTCTAAAAAAACAGTTTTTCTTTTTTTGCTACTATTAAAAGCACTTATTATTATCTATTTTTTTAATATAAAAAGGGGCAAAACACTCTGACTCCGCTTTCTAATTTTATTTTTTTAAAAGAAATACACTTTTGGGATTATGTTATTATGATATTAAATCATTAATATTTCAACGATGCAATTGTTGTATTTGAAAGGAACTAAGTTATTCCACAAATATTAATACTGCAAGTAATAACTCTTCCATATTAATTGATTTTCAACTGCAACATGTCGAAGTTTTTTGTTTCTTTACATTACTAAAAGCAAATTAAAATAGGATTTTAACGACGTTCGTAAACAATATTGCTTAGTTGGCTAGAAGAAGAAACTCTATGTCATTAATTGCTCTATTTCATAGTATCAAGGCTTCTTTATGATTGCGTCTTTCATTTGTTAGGAAATCAACACACTAGTTTGCCTCCCTTCCAAACATGTCGAATCATCACCTTATTGACCTTCAACAAATACTGACAATCTTTAATAATAGGTTTAAGTAGATGACGGTGTATGTTTCTTTATTGATAAATATTTTTATATGAATAATTTTCACCGCCATTTTATCCGTAATCACTGGCTATCACTATTGTTGTCAACCATTATCACCATCGCCAACCACCACTGACAGGATTATTGTTGTTAACTATTACTATGAATCGCTATCACACCTATCATCTCCATTTATTATAATTATATTTACTGCCATAACCAATATCGTCACCACCATCGCTACTTCTGTCATTATCAGTCATTACTATAGTGCAATCAATCCTTACCACCAACCACCTAACTCCACCATTACATGAATTAGCATCACCGTCAACTATCAACAAACCATCACCATAACTATCAATCATCACCAACATGTCAGTCACTACAACATCAACCACCTCCACTATTATAATCCAATAATAACACTAATCATCCCTACAAGCCATCTTCATGACTTCATCACTAGCAAACATAAATATTGTACTACTTTTTTTTATCAAATAACATTTTTTTATTTAAATTTAATTACTATTTTTGAATTTGATATATTTATTATGTTTATAAATAACTAAATCATGGTCATTAAATTTTGAAAAACAAACAACTATAATCATCCATTATTCAGATCTAGAACACTATCTCTAATCATTTACAAACAAAAGTATATAAATATATAATTTTGAACTATAAAAACATTTCTTTTTTCACAAAATATATAATTCACGTCCAATAAATATCGAGGACAGAGAGTACTTAAGATTTCACTTTATAAAAAAATTAAAAAAAATCAGTGGCGGGTAACGGGGTAAGGGAGTGAGGATCCGCGTGATTAGCTAAACGAACTTTTTGAAAATTTGAAAAACAGAGGCCAAGACGGTTTCTCTTACCTTATCTCAAAACTCCCAATCATCAAAATCAGAGAGTGACGGCACGCAAACCGATGCTCATTTCTATCACAAAATTAAACAAAATTATAAATGAAAAATAAATAAAATATATACACGCGTAACATTTATGGTTTCAGGCTTACCTTCTGTTACGTTCTTCATCATTTGTATGAATGATTATTGATTTGATCAATTCACAGATCCGAAATTTCTGAATAATTTTAGCAGAGATTTTATGATCTTTACGCAATTGGAATAGTATTGCGAATTGTAATTCATTCATAATTTGGTGCAAGGCTTGAAAATCGATACGCGATTCTGTTGTTGAAAACAGGAGATTAGAGGAGTTTTTAGATTTGGAATAGAGATTAGAGATCATGAGTGGAGATGCAGAGCCGAAGCTTGACGATGATCAAATTGCGGAGCTTCGTGAGATTTTCCGGTCATTTGATAGGAACAATGACGGAAGTTTAACGCAGCTTGAACTCGGATCGTTGCTTCGATCATTAGGATTAAAGCCGAGTAATGATCAATTGGAGGATTTAATCCAGAAGGCAGATAGGAACAGCAATGGATTGATTGAGTTTTCGGAATTTGTGGCTTTGGTGGCGCCGGAGCTTATAGCGGCGAAGTGTCCATACTCGGAGGAACAGCTAAAGAAGATTTTTCGGATGTTTGATAGGGACGGTAATGGTGTGATCACGGCGGCGGAGTTAGCGCATTCTATGGCTAAATTAGGACATGCACTTACACAAGAGGAGTTAACAGGGATGATCAAGGAAGCTGATAGGGATGGTGATGGTTGCATTAGCTTTGAGGAGTTTGCTCAGGCGATGACTTCCGCTGCATTCGATAATTCCTGGACATGAAACGCCTTTTCTTTCTGGTTTGTGCTATTTTTGATGGTTTACTTTTCTTACTTGATTGATATGTTTTACCTCAGCCGAGTTTTCCGAAAGCAGTCCCTCTAACTTTATAAGGTAGAATTAAGTAGAAGTAAGGTTGTGTATACATCACCCTCACGGCCTCACCTATAGTTCTAGTGCTTTGTTTAATTATTCCGTGCAGCGAATGAAGTTCCTCTTTGAAAATTATAATGCATTGGGAAATGGATAGGCATAGCCCTTGCTGTTTTTGGATGGTAAAAATTCTAAATATACGAGTATTGTCCTTTGGGATAAAGTGAACACGAATGTTATCAATTTGTGTGACGAGTTGTTCTTCTTTTTATATAGTAGTGGTTAATTGTCAGTAATAAGCTAATTATTGAGGGGTTGAGTTTCATCCATATCCATTTTCTAATAGGGAAAATAATACAAATTGGACTCATTAGATAAAGTATTTACCCTGATTGGACACGGCCTAAATTGTTTATCTGATTGCCCCTTGTTCTATTCACTGAACCACTGCTTCTTCATCTGTGATATCATCATAGTATATATATACTCTATGTTTACATACTCTAATGGTATCAAACAATAATTGCGCAATCTTTTTACTGAAACACAACTCGTTCCTCTTTGATGCCATTATATACTCTAATGGTATCAAGGAGTAACTGGGTGGGGTTTCACTGAAGCATTGCTTCTTCCTCTTTGATACCATCGGAGTATATATATACTTTGATGATATCAAGCAATAAACGCGCATTAGTGATTAAAAATAGGGGGTATGAAAGTAAAGGAGTAGCCGCTTGTAAATAGTTTTCCTTTTTGAAATACAAGTATTTTTTTCACTTTCTAATATGGTATCAGAGTCATTGTCATATCAATTCTTAATTTTATCCAATATTGAATATTCATATTATAGTTCTACTTGTTGCATCAAAGTCATACTTGTATCAATTCTTAATTTAATCCAATATTGAGTACATCCACATTTCATATGTCCACTTAATTCTTCTTGTTTTTTTTAATTGCCCAAAATATTTTAGTTCATACCTGATGGTTGATAAATAACCATGCAGGCGAAAGAAAAAACAGACTTGGGCTCGAACAAGGACTAATTTCAATCAACGAAGCTATCAGGCTGAAATAGATGGGAATGTTCCCAAATGAGTTCATTGTTCAACTTGGTTTTTCCAATTTTGCCAATCTCATTGTTTTGTTTTTGTTTATTGTTTTTTTCCTTTTGGTAGGTAAGTTTTTGTAGCATAATCCGTCATTACAGAAATGAAATGCATTTGGAAGGACGAAACAGACCTTCAATCATATGCTTGTTTTATTAAATAAAATTCTAACCCAGAAACACTCCTGCTTTCTGTAGTCCTTCAATAAAAGGTCCTGTAAACTTTCCCAACATCCAAAAACCTTCAGGTTTGGCCACCCCAAACATGTTTTCATAAACATCAACTCAAAATATTTTCCAAAATAAACTAAAATCAGATCCAAATGCAAAAGTTCACAATGATGATGATAGGTATTAGGACACCTCCGATGCTTTCCTGTTACTGTAACACGTTTTCTTCATCCGCTACAGTATGTTTTCAGCAGTTCTCACAACATGAACAAACAGCAAGACTAATCAGGTCAAAGGTCATGCGCATCGTAAAATTGTCGCAGTAAAGCCTCAGGTAGCAGTCTATTTCCAAAAGACAAACAACCAATCCGAATGCATATGTTCGATAAAGATGAGAATTTGACAGGAATTCAAAGGTCCAGCAACTATTGTTCTATGCATCAAACTTACAGGACGTTTTACGTATAACTAGCATATCTAAGTATCTAAACCATAACACAATGACCCGCTAAAAGATGAGACAAGCGAAATAGCAAAATAGTTTAATGAAATTTGTTTTGCATAAGCTAGAGGATTAATCCCTTAGGTGAAGATGGCTTGGTAGGTTCCTCGGTCTTGGAGGCTTTTGGGGACTCTGAAAGAGCATGTATAGGCACATAACCTTCAGCTGAATTTTTTGCCTGTTCTTCTTCTGCCATCTTTTCCTTCGTCTTCTGGCCCACTTCCCCTGCAGCCTTGGTGACCTTATTGAAAGCACCAGTAACCCAAGATGCCCCTGTCAAAACATATCTGTTCTTCATGATGGCAGATCCAGCAGTGCTAACCGTCTGCTCAGCAGCTGCAAGAGCTGATTTTGTCTTTTCAGAAACATGGAACTTCTGGTCCATTTCTTTCACTTTGTCATTCACAATTGTTGCTCCCAAATTAATTTTCTCACTAAGGCCAATCTTTTGGTCTAAAGAAGCAACTTTTGCTGAGGCAGTGGATGTGAACTGGTGTTTCTCATCAAATGTCTTGGCTTTGTTAACTGCATCCTTGCCCAAGATGAAGCCCTTTGCCAACATGCTGCTCACAACATCTTCTGCCTTTTGAATAGCAGATCCACCACCAGCTGCATTAGCACTCTCAGTTGCCTGTGTGTGTATTTAGGAGTATACCGTGTTAGGGACTACCAAACAGTCGATAAAAACCAGAATGTCTATATAAATTATACAGACCTTGATTGGCACTAGAGCTGTAGGAGGCAGCTCGTAGTCAGGTTCGGGTACTATTGTGACTGACTGATCAATAATTGTTGCTCCCTGGAAACCACAGATGAGCTTATCAGTTGACACACCAAAAGAAAGAGAAGACGAGGGGAATGCAAAAATATGGAAAGCTAATCCTTCACCTTCAAAACGAGCATAAATGCAAGTTAACTGATCAATCAATTGCAAGACTTTCAACAACTAAAGTTTTTTGGGCTAGCTGTTACCAATTATGTCGTTTAGGCTAATGCAAAGGAAAGAGAACAGGAGGGGATCATTCATATCTTCTTAACTACAATTTCCTCCCTAGACTTTCTTTTGAAGCATTTTAATCCTGGGAACCTTTTAAAGAAATACGCTACAGTGACTCAGTCACTCAGTACAAGTAAAAGCCATCAAATGGCTGAGGGAGAAGGCCACATATGCATCAGATGGGCATAGGGTTGATTTCAAAACAATTATTCCTTTTTGGTTGCAGAAAAATTCTCTCACAGAACTGGGCTTCAAGACTTTCAACTCAAAATTTTGTGGGCTAGCTGTTAGTCACTTTCACTTGATCTGTTACCAATTACGCTGTTTAGGTTAATGCAAGGGAAAGAGAATGGGAGGGGGTTATGCATATCTTCTTCCCTTTCCGTTCAAGAGCACATAAAGGAACAAAAGAAGAGAAGGCATAACCCTTCGGGATGGCCCAGTGGTTTCAGGTTTGGGCTTGGGACTTCCATGTTGGAGGTCTCAAGTTCGAAATCCCTTGCTAGTGAAAGCAAAAGGGGTTTGCCTTCTGGGTTGAGCTCGTCCCACCGGGATTGCATAGTGTGGGTTACCTCTCCTATGCGGTTTGCAAGCTATTGCATAGGAGCGCTACCCTGTGCACACCCAAAAGGTAGCGGCTTTGTAATAAAAAAAATAAGAAGAGATGGCATATAAAATAATGAAACACTGACAACTAAAATCCAAATATGAATTTTGATAGAAAAACTCCACCTTCCCCTCAAAAGAATT